TGCTGGGCCTTCTCTTCTGCTTCCTTCTTGGCCTTCTCCTCTGCTTCCTTTCTCAGCCTCTCCTCTGCCTCCTGCTGAGCCTTCTCTTCTGCTTCCTTTCTTAGCTTCTCCTCTGCCTCCTTTCTCAGCCTCTCCTCTGCCTCTTGCTGTGCCTTCTCTTCTGCTTCCTTTCTCAGCTTCTCTGCCTCCTGCTGGGCCTTCTCTTCTGCTTCCTTTCTAAGCTTCTCCTCAGCCTCTGTCTTGCTTGGTCTTCTTTTTGTCCATTGCAGATGCTTGGTCTTCTTGGTTCTTCTTGTCCATTGCAGATGTCATGATGAGTTTGCTAAGCCAAAGCTCACCTGAGTAGAACTGATGACATTCCCACCAGCTCCACCATCTCATCAACTTGGCCAAGGGTCCAGCAATTTCCAGTGTCCTCATTTTCTCCATCTCTGCCCACAGGTGCTCCCTTTGCTCCCTGCTGCCATTGCAAACTTGCAGCCTTTCATTGCAGATGTGCTGGGTGTACTCCAAGAACCTGCCACTGTGAGGCGACTGAAACTTTGCAAACTCTGCCCTGGCATTCTTTTTCTTCTCCCACCAGGTTTTTGAGTTCATTGGGCCATAGTTGATGTTGAACATCATTGCAAAACTCAGGAATGTCCTGAGAAGCTTGGTTGCCCTCAAGGCATGTTTCATGTCATTCCAGCAGCGATGATGGCCATCCCAGGCCACCACCACACACATGTGGAGGTAGTTGACCATGTAGTCCAACACACCTCTGTTCACACCACCCTGGTCTGAAATAGATACCAGGATATGCTGTGCAGAGTAGTTGAAGAAGTCTGGAATCTGCTGGGTTACCTGGCCAGTGGCTGAATTGTAGATCCAAAACTTCCCTCTCAGGAACACTCTTTGCTCTAAAGTGCCCAAGGCTTGCCACTGCATTTCCTGTGGCAAAAAAAACTGTTCCAATCTCTTCCCTATGCCCATCAAAGAATGCGCCAAAGCCCTAAGCTCACAGAAGCCATCCACTCTGGTTATCTGCTTTTTCACTGCTAGCTGCTGAATCTCCTTGGAGACCTCATCTGTGGCTACAGGAAGGAGAACCTGGATTGGCAAATATGCTGCCTTCATACATTGGTTGCTCCACACAGTGGCTACCAAGACCTCTTGGCCAGAATAATTGCTTGGATCCCAGCTCACCTGTAGATGGGAACAGCTGCTGAATGTGGCAATGAGCATTTCCAAATACTTGCTGCATTCAAGCAAAGGCTCATTTCTAACCAGGCCAGTTCCTGCTGGCACTAGGTCTGTGTGTGAAGACATCACAAGCCTTCTGTGGTTCTTGTTGAACCTGACCTTCCTCAAAAGCAACAGTTTGTTAGCAAAAGGAATTCTCTTGACACCACCAGCTTTGGTCTTCAACAAGGGTGCAGCCTCAAGGTCTCTTTTTGCCAGCTTGTGAGCTAACTTTTCAACAGCTTCCCCAAACATGGCCAGGATTTGTGGCCAAAGAAACTGACCAATGTCTCTCCATATGGCTTGTGCATGGCTGTGGCACTTGGCATAAAGGAGGAAATGCACAAGATCTATGAAGCTAGCATGGGCAGTGTGGGAAGAGATTGTGTGGCCAGACCAAGACTTCTTTGCCAGCTGCCCCCATAGAGGTGTAGCCTCATTGTGTTCCAAAAACATGTCTCCCAAATCATGTGTAGTGCCATGAGCAAAACTTACCACATAGGTGTGGTAGGCCATATCAGTGCCAAACATTGCGCAGTTGCAAACCCACTCATGTTCATCCCCCACAATAGTCATGGCTGCTTCTGCAAGGCCCTTGAGAATTCTGATTGCCATGGCCTTTGCATTTGCATGGATAGACTTTTTTGGTGTCACCAAAGCAATCATGAGCAAAAAGCCTTTGCTCTCTATGGTGTGCGCCCCAACCTCATCTGACTTAAGCCCTCTGTAGTGCAGCTCATTAAAGCTAGTTTGTGCTATTGTGCACTCTTGTTGGAAGGAATCCATGCCTCTCTTCAAGGCCAAGCCATCTTTGCTGGTCTTCAGGTTGAGTGCTGCTGGCACCCTTGCCCATTCCCACTCTGCTGAACCCTCTTGGTTGATCTTGCCAGTGAAAGACACTTGGTCAAACACTTTCAACACAAATGGTATCTGTGGAAGTGATTCTTCCTTATCCACATCCATTGCCTAGCAAGGGATGCACAGTGGCGTGCACATTGTTCTTTGTTGCTGGCTTGGTGTGGTTTTGTGGTTCCTGTAGGTTGGCATATTGTTGCATGTGTGGCAGGAGTAGTAAGAGTAGTAGTGCTGGTAGAAGTGGTTTCTGTTGGCTGTGTGGTGTTGCTCTCACTGTTGTTGTTGCCCTGTCCTGCCCACCTGAACACACACAAGGCACATGACTGCATCATTCACCCCTGCCAAAACAAAGTGCAAATGCTTTGCATCTGGCAAACAGTTTCTGAATGCTTTGCATCACAAAGAACAAGTCTTTTTCATACCCTGTGGAGGCATCTGCCAGCTGTGCCACATGCCAGCTGCACCACATGTCCTTGGCTGTCCCAACAGCAAGGCTGTCCACATATAGTTTATTGTATAGTGACAGTGTGGTATATACTTTGCTGCATGTTCTATATTGCATACCCCCCACCCCAATGCTCCAAGGGTCTGAGTCTAGGCATTGGTCACCTAGAAAGACTCTGGAGATTCAGCCATTCATTTGGTTACCTGGGCTTTTAGATTGCAAAGGCATTGAAAAACAATAGCAGGTTCAAGAAACAAGCAACTGCAGCTAGTTTGCTGTATTGTGGCAGGGTGTTATACCACCAATCACTCTTGGTGTGTTTGATGTAGCGCATCTGGGTGGAGATATAGTGGTGCACATCTTCACCCCTAATGGGTGCCAAACCATGTTGGGCATGCAAGTGCTGAATGATACTCAGCTTCCAGGCATCCCAGTCTTTGTGTTCAGGCATCCTAGCATGCCTGCTCAAAAACTGGTAGGCTGGAAACCATTCTTTCCAACCACTGCTGTAAGTCCACACAAACCAAAGCCACTCACCCCAGGTGTCCCAAGCACCATGAAGGATGCAATCCCTGGTGTCAAAGGCAGGCAGCATACATACCACATCTGGATTTGCCATTCCTGAGATGCATGCCACCCTGGACAGACCCATCCCCAAACACTTTGTGTGCTCAACCAGTTGTGAAGGTACACCCAATGCAGCCAGGTGTCTATACAACAACAGCCAGCAACTGGATAAGCCTACTCTATGTTATATTATGCCTTGAGCATTCTCTCAAAACCACAACCCTTGAGTTACAAGACACAGCAACTCACAAAACAACATGTTGACATTGTGCGCCCTTTCTCATGTTGCCATTCTCACTCTTTCACATGCAATTTTGCGCACACCCCTGGTCCAAGCAAGGCCCATCATAGGCCATCCAAAATGCCAGCTATTGCCACTGATAGGTGTGTACCTCAGCTCCACAACCAGGCCCCCAAGCCCACCAAACCTTCCCCAACATTCCCAAACATTCCACATCTTTCCATAAACGTCCCAAAACTCCTGAATCATTCCAAAAACTTCTGAATCATTCCAAAAACTTCTGAATCATTCCAAAAACTTCTGAATCGTTCCAAAAACTTCCAAAAAATTCTCAAAAATTCTAAAAAATACCTTTGTGGATACCCCTTTTTTATCACCTGTTCTACCTTGTAAATTCTTCCAATGTAAAGGAAACGCTGCCCTTTTTTCACCAGCACCTGTTCTTCCTGCCTAGTCGCCCAGCAGTCTGGCCAAACTCTTTGAAGCACTATCAGCATGAAACCTTGGCTGCGCTCAGCCTGGATTGCCTTCACTTAGGTCCCCTATGTTACTGGCCTATGTTCAGTGTCTTCAAGCCTGTACACAAATGCAATTGCCAACAGCTTTCTTTTCACCAACATCTTCACCAGGTCTTCTTCTACACAGCTCTAGTCTACATCCTCAGTCTCCACCAACCCTCAGGTCAGTGGCATGCCTGTCATTGTAGTCTTTCCTCAACACATGGCAAAAACAAGCGCATTCTGCAGCTTGCAGGCACTCTGCAGGGCATCCTGCAGCTTGGCCACACTCTGTGGAACACCCCTGCAGGCAGTCCACACAGGTGACACCTCCAACTTTAAACACTTCCATTTTGGATTGGCCACAGTAAACAACATTGGTGCCCCACTTCTTCACAAAAGGGATGATATCCCCTTCATATGGCAGCCATTTGATCATATCTCTTTGGTCACCAGGCACCCTCTCCTCCACCTTCTGCTTCTTACTGGGAGGACCACTGGCAAGTGGTAAGGTGTCACCCTGGCTATCACAGGCTTCATCCAGCTGTGTTGCTTGGAGCATGGCTGCGCACAAAAAAAGTCGCCCTTTTCAAGCTTGTGTTTGGCTTGAGCAAAACTATGGGGCCCAAAGCAAACACATCCATTCCACTATGCCACAACTCCCTTCCACTCTCCCATTTTCACATGGGCATCCTTCCCACACCAGTCAGCCAAGCCACTGTTGGACATAGTGCGCACTTTCACTTCACTTTTTGCCTGGGAGGTGGCAGGGTGAAGTTGTGGCACACACAAGGTTGCAGGCCCCATTACCCAATTGATGGCTCCACCCAAACACATGGTAGGACAAACACATGGCTCCACACCAAACACACATCCAACAACAAAATGCCCACAGCCATATTCTCTCCACCCCCCCAGTGTGCAAAAGAGGTGCCACCAAACATCTTAGCCACAGCATCTCCTGTCTTTCCTGCTTTTGCTTTTGCTTTATTGGCCTTCTCCATTTGTCCAGCAAGGGCCAGCAGCTTTTGCCTGTTAGCCTCAGCTTCCTTCTTCTCCTCAGCTTGCTTCTTCTCCTCTGCCTCCTTCCTGGCCTTCTCCTCTATCTCCTTTCTCAACTTCTCCTTTGCCTCCTCTGCCTCCTTCTTGGCCTTCTCTTCTGCTTCCTTTCTCAGCTTCTCTGCCTCCTGCTGGGCCTTCTCTTCTGCTTCCTTCTTGGCCTTCT